TGGAGGGACTGGATGGGGGGCGGGGCGGGGTGGAGAGGAGAGACAAAGCAAAAAGGAACGATAGCAAAAGAAAAAGTACAGAAAACAAAACCCCTAGAACACACACAAACAAAACCCAGAAAAAAAAAAAAAAACCTGAAATAAAAGCCCGAGAATTGTCTTCCAAGGGGGTGTGAGGGGGAAGAAAAGGGGGCGAATGAGCACGTCTGGGTCTCGCTGAGACAGGGATGGCGCGCGTTGAAAGCCCCGGCGCCCGGGTCTTCCCTTTCCCAGGCCTCAGTTCACCCCTCAAAGTACTGGGACCCAGGCGTCCACCTGCAAGGACTGCAGGAAGATTAGGGAGGCGGAATTATAACGTGGGGGCTCGTCACTACCCCCATCACCTCCCTCTCCCTGACCCCCCACCAAGATTTTGCAGAGAGAAATGGCTTTTGTACCAGGTCATTCTTTATAATTAAACTCACAGTATCCACCCCCTCGAGCTGGCCCCGCCTCCTTCCTGGGGAGGCAGCGCCCCCTTTCCTGCGGGGTTCGGGTGGGTCGCCCGCGGCAGCTGGGCGGTGCGCAAGCGCAGCCGGGCCCGCCCCACGTGTCAGTCCTCCTCGGTCGACTCCGCCCCCAGGGCCTCGAGCATGCGCCGCCGGACCTGGCAGCGCCGCAGGTGCAGGCGGTAATCGCCCAGCAGCAGTTCGTCGTGCCGCAGCAGCCGGTGCAGGCGCCCGCGGGGCCGGATCCCGGAGCGCAGCAGGCGCGAGCGAGTCTGGAAGTCCGTAACGGTGATGAGCCACCTGCGAAGGGGCGGAGCGGCAGGGATCTCGCTGGTGGTCTCGGCCCCACCTTCGGTTGCCGAAGCGTCGCTACCTCGTTCCTGTTTGTGTACCAACTACCGTCCTCTAATCCGTCACTCCGTCCCTAAACTCCACTCCAGCCCTGCCCTTTCGCCGAGGTCCACCTGTACCCTGACCTTCACCGGGGGTCATTCTAGGCTCCGTCTTGACAGCCGTGTTCTGCTTCCAAGTCACAGGCCGGCGAGGCTCCATCGTCTCCAACCGCCTCTCCAAGGCCCAAACCTCACCTAGGCTCTCCAGGGCCCATCCACACCCGACTACTCCTGGCCCTGCCTCTACCACGTGCTCAGTCCCCTCCGCCCCCTCGTAGCTGCCTTTCCAGGCTCAGACCCCACACCTCGGTCTTGCGTATCAATGTCACCATCTGGCTCACTCCGAATCCGGTTCCCCATTCACTTCGAATCCCGCCTTCTCTTTTAAGTCCAGCGGGCCCCGCCCCTTCTTACGATGCCGTCGTCCCGCCCCTCAGCGCTATTACACCAACCACATTCTTATCTAGTTGCTCCAGGCCCCGCCCCCTCACTGCCTCGACTCTAGGCCCCGCCCCTGCGCCGCGCTCGCCTGTCCCGGCGGCCCGCAGTCCCACAGATGACGTTCATGTTCTCAAAGCGGATGCTGCTCACGCGCCCGCTCTCCATGGCCCCGGGCAACTCTGCCTCGAGCGCCTCCAGCACCTCCAGGTGGGTAAAATCCTCCTCGGCCTGGGGGAGACGGAGAGACGCCTGGGTTCAGTCCAGGTTCAGAAGTCACCACCTGCGAGAGTCCCAGGTGGCATCTGAGGGGCAGAGATCACCCTCGACCCCAGGGTCTTGTCGCTCTTGACAAAGGGAAGACGACAGGTACCTCTCAGTGGAAAAGCATCTACTGTCATGCTAGGTTATTCAAAAAATAAATTCTCACCAGGCCGATTTGCCAAAAGGCGATGAACAGTTGGCTGAATGAGTCACCAATTTAGCCAGTTTTACCAATCTACCGAAAACTTTTCCAGCCATCTGCAATGGATGGTGCTAAAAGCTATTGAAGATTTCTGCAGGGATTTAAGTTGTACACTTTTCCTTTTGCATTCATATCAGTATTTTAAGGAACGTTCAGTTGTCAAAAGGTAAGGGTCATAGAGGGTTTTGACGTCTTGTCAACCTATTAACATTCAGAAACATATACTGATTACCAACCACATTTTCAGCACAAGATTATCATGTTGAAGGTGATATGCAGTTGTCATAGCATCTAAAATTGCTGAGGAATTAAAATGAAATCATGAAATTGGCCACCTCCAGAAAGGCAAGCCTTGGTTGAGGTGGGATGGGAGGCTGGAGGATCTCTTGCTCCAAGGCCCAAAGGAGAGTGAGGGGGTGGGGATTGGTCTCTAAAACAAAGTTGGGACACAGTCACACAGATTAGCTAAGGGGGCTCCTCAGAGGCTTGTGCCTGGCATACAGTAAGCACCCTAGTAACGTCGGCTCTTCTCATATAATTATCGAGTGACTTGTCCCCTAATAGATCCATCCTCTGATTGAGGGCAAGGATTGCCAGAGGATTCGTACACTGAAGGACTAGTTTGCTGAATGTGTCAAAAACATGGGCTTCTTAAAATGAGTTTTTGTTATATTTGTAAACTTTACAGAATTTCTTAGTGGATGGATTAGTAAGACTTTCTTTGTCCTCAGTCTCCCCATCTCTATTTCTCAGTCTCCCCTTCTCTCTGCGCCTCGGTCTTCCCTCTGGGATGAGTAGTGATACATTTGATGACTACCCCTTTGACAAATTCACAGTCAGTTTTCAGCAAACTGTCCAGGTGGCCAGCTGGTAAACCACAGAGCCTGGATTTAAACCCTGGCCGCCTGGTTTCTGAGCCTGTGTCCTTTCTACCACCCCACCCAAACTGTACAGAAACCAAGGGCCTGGAGTCACAGGAGCAGGGGGCCACTCACCGAGGACTCCATGCAGAGACAGAGGGGCTGGGCAGCAGGCGGTGTGGGGAACTTCCGGATGCACGGGAGCTCTCGGTCCAGGGCCTCATATTCTGCAATGACCTGCTGCAGGTACTGCTTCCTGGGGAGAGAGCGAGCAAGCAGAAACCCCAATGTCAGAGGTCGCTGCCATCACATTTGGGGAGCTGAGGTCAGAGGTCATGAGGCCAGAGGCCACTCACGAGGACTTGACAGGCCTGCCCAGGCTCCGAGCCTGCGTCTCCTCAGGGATCTCCAGGTCCGCAAGGAGGGGTCCTAGGGAGGGAGAACCCAATGTCAGCTGCCCTGAGCCTTCCACAGCTATGATTCAGCTTAAATGAGCATCACTGAGCACTGTCCGCTGTCCGTGCCACCACTAGAATAGCTCCTACACCAGTGTTGAGCTATTTATTGTCTCTCGGCTCCAAACTCCAGCCTTCTACACTGGCTCTGTGATGCCTGGGCTGGGACTCTATAATCACCTTTCTGCTTCAACAGCTGGGTTCCTATTAGGCTCAGCTTAAAGGGGGCTCCAGAGGAGACTGCAAAGCAGGAGGAAGCTGAACAACTTACTCCTTTTTGCTTCTTCTTCCAATCACCCCAGCCACGCTTCTTCACAGCAGCCGCGTCACTTCATTCCACTAATAACATTCAAATCCAGTTTGCAGTTCTTCCAACACTCTCAGAACTAGCCTCTTGATTGGAACTTGACTGATAACAGTTCTCAAATCTGGCCCCTTGTCAACCCCACTATCAGCTAACTGGTCTCTCTCTTATGGCTGACTGCTAGTTATACTATGTAATCCATTTTCCCCTCCCTGTACAACCCTAGAGTCTTATGCAGCACACGGCTACCCAGCTAGAAACAACAGTTCCAAACCTCCCTTGCAGCTAGATGTGGTCACATGACCAAGTTCTCGCCAATGGAGTGTTGTGCTAGTGGGAGTGAAGGGTGCAATTTAGGAGTCATTTGCTTAAAAGAAAATTGCTTGTCTTAGGCTTTTCACCCCTTCCCTCGGACTGGAATGTGGATGTAGCAATAACCCAACTTCAACCATGCTAGTATATGGTGAGCAACAATACAGAAACACAATGCTGTGTCCCTGAATCATCTTGTGGAGCCAAGATGTCCCACCAGCCTGGACTACCTGCCTCCCATTACGCAGGAGAGAAATAAACTTCTGTCTTTTTTATGCTATTATGTTTTGGGGTCTCTTTGTTACAGCAACTGAAAGAGAGAAAAGCAGCCCTGACAGCCAGGCCCTGGTGCTCTCCTGCTGGGAATAAACAATTTCCCAAAACACCAACATCAAGCAGGGGCACTGTCACCTTCATAGACTGAAACAAAAGCAAGGCCACTTCCAAATCATGTCTCAGCACAACAAAACGCAAACATTGTGCAAACCACAAAAATGACCAGACACCTCTTCCTTGCTCAGAGTTGACAGCTGCTTAACTAACCATTGCATTTGCTCCATTTACTCCTTTTTCCTCTGGATAAGATAAAGACACCCAGACATGGACTTAGCCCTGCTTCCTGCCTGCATCCAATCCAGAGCAAAGCCCCACTTCTCCGAACCCTCCCCAAAGTCACCTGATGCAGTTGAACTCCTGCAGTAAGTCCTTGCTGACAACCTTGTACCGAGATGTTGTATGTGTGCAGTATTCCTCATTACAAGTCAATAACGTCGCCTTTGTTTAACTATAGGTAGTGGTGTGCTGGCATATATCTAACAACAGGCTCTCACTCTCTTGCTGTCTCACACACACACGTGCACACACAATCACACACTTGTAGCATTTGCCAATTTTTATGGTGTCTATACTCCCACTATGGCCAATTTCTTGCTATCAACAGTTTCAACGACTAACTTGCAAAATTCAAGAATCAGTCATGAGGCTGACTCTAGCACACCTCTGCCACAGGTGTGCTCCTGGTGGTTTTTGACTTCAGGATGTCAACACAGCTTAGTCTCTACCATAGTTAAGTACCTCTCTCTGTTCCCTGATCTCCTGCCTCCCATCAGTTTCCCCAGGGCAGCTGGGGTGAGCTCTTCACTTCAGTACCCAATGCTTACAAGCCACCAGAAGCTTCCATTTGCCTTCAGGATAAAGTCCTTACTGTGGTGGACACTGGCTCTTCAATGTATGATCTGGGGACATTGTTTGAAGTGCAGCATTTCAGAGCTCACCCTAGACCTACAGAATTAGAATCTGCATATTAACAAAATCCCCTTTGAGAAGCATCTACTCTGCCTGTGGTTACCCCTGTTAACCCCTGTTCACCCCTAATTATTTTCTTCCAGCCATACTGGCCTCCTATCCCTCAAACCCAGTAGTCTCTTTCTCAAATATGTCTACTTAATAATAACAACAATTATGTGCTATGCTACGGTCCCTTCTTTGTGCCAAGTACTTTTAAAAGTACTCTTCATTGCATCCTTACCACAACCTTCTGAGGTAGTCATTTAAAAAACGTTGAAACAGAAGCACAGAGAGGTTAAGTGACTTGCCTGAGGTCACACAGCCCAAATTGATAGAATCAGTATAAAAATCTAAGCATCTGGATCCAGAGGGCATGTTCTCAATCTGCTTCCTCTCACCCCACTCTTGTCTAGACAGCAGTCTCCTAACTCCTCTCCCTGTTCAGTTACCCCATTATGGTAGCATTTCGAAATGTAGATCTGATTGTATGGCCCCTTTCCTCAAAACCCTTCCAGGACTTCTGATTGTTCTTGGGATAAATGAAGTCCAAAGTCCTCCCTGTGGCCCACAAGACCTCGCATGATCAGATCCTGCCGATGTCCTAAGCCTCATCAGGCACCATCGTCCTCCTTGTTACATTCCAGAAACACTCTTTTTCTGTGACTTGAACTATCTATGATCTCTCTCCTATCACAGGACCTTGGCACATGCTGTAACTCCATGTGGAACTCTCTTCCTCCTCACTTAGCTAACCGAGTCTCCCTGAGTGTCTACTGAAGAGTTCCCTGTTATGGACATAATCATAGCACCATGCATTTGCTCTCATCACGGTTGCAACTTTACCTTTATTTCCATGATTCCTCAATTACAATCCCTCTCCCCCAAATCTTGTGAGCAAGATGAGGGCAGGGGCTTCTCTTTTTGCCCTAGCATCTGGCAAAGCTTTGGGCACATAGCTGGTCTCTAGTATTTATTGAATAAAGCCTGGAGGGAAATAACTATCAAATGCAATGTGTAAACCTTGTTTGGGTCCTAATTCAAACAAAGCAACTGTGAAAAATAAATTTTTGAGATAATGTAAATATGTACTAGGTATGAAGCAATATTCAAGAATAATTGTTAATTTTGTTAGGGATAATTATGGCACAGTAGTATGTATTTTTTTAAATCCCCAGCAATTAGAGAGATGATATTGAGGTAGAAATGCAATTGTGTCTACAAATTTCTTTTTTTCTTTTTTTTTTCTTCTGACCAGTAAGGGGATCGCAACCCTCAGCATGGTGTGGTCCACACCACGCTCAGCCGGTGAGCGCACCGGCCATCCCTATATAGGGTCCGAACCCGTGGCCTTGGCGCTCCCAGCGCCACACTCTCCCGAGTGAGCCATGGAGCCGGCCCTACAAATTTCTTTAAAACAAATTTTTCCTATAGAATGTTCCCTCCAGGGCCGGCCTGGTGGCGCACTGCTACAGTGCGCCACTTGGGAGCGTGGCGGCGCTCCCACCAAGGGTTCGGATCCCACATACAGACCGGTTCCCGCTCACTGGCTGAGCGAGGTGCGGGCGCAACGCCGAGGGTTGCGATCCCGTTGCCGGTCCCGGTCCGGTACGGGCGTGACACTGAGGGTTGCGATCCGTTGCCGGACACAAAAAAAAGGGAAAAAAAAAAAAAGAATGTTCCCTCCAAAAGTGGGGGGGAGGTAGGCACTACCCTCCCCCCCACAAACTATCAATAGTTATTGAAACTAGGCATTGTGACTTGTGGGTTCATTATACCATTGTCTCTATTTTTGTGTATGTTTGAAAATTTCAATTAAAAAAATCCTTTACATTTCTATCACAAATAACTTAGAAATAAAAATTTATACCCTGGAAAAGTGTGTTAAATGACTCAAAAAGTGACTCTAGCAACACTGTCAAAGATGCATGTGAAAAAATGTGAATACAACAGTTTCTCTTGAAATATGACATTAGAAATAACATTTCTAAATTAAAACAATGAGGGCTGGCCCATGGCTCACTTGGGAGAGTGTGGTGCTGACAATACCAAGTCAAGGGTTAAGATTCCCTTACCAGTCATCAATAATTGATTGATTAATTAATTAATTAAAACAATGATTTTAATTGTTTAAATGTATATGTGTAACTGCTAATAAAAGTATAAATTTACAATTAGGTACTTATTGAATAATTGAGTAAACACAACAATTTCAAACTTTAACAGGCATCTTGGAAGCCTCCTGTGTTCCTTGGAGGAAGCTGGGGATGGAGAGATGAATGAGACTCAGCCCTGGCCTTCAAGAACTCCCACTCTGGTGTGACAGACAGTCATTGTAAAAGGCGATATGTGCTTCAATGGAGGGGTAACAAGGTAGAGGGAAAGCCCAGTCGGGGGGCAATCAGGGAAGGCTCTCTAGAGGAAGTGTTGTCCACAGTGAGACCTAAGGGGTAAGAACGAGTTTGCCATATAAAGAGATCGCAGGGAGACAGATGTTTTATGCAGAAGGGCCGGCATGAGCCAAGGCCTTTAAGCAAAAGAGAACAAGGTTATCTGCAGGAACTTCCCAGAATTCTCCTCTGCCTGACGACTAAGGAGTGTTTATCGCAACTATGGATTATTAATTATTTGTGGGATGGCATGGTTTTTGTCTGCCCTCCCTGCATGAGAACAGGCTGGGTCATTTCATCCATTAGGCACTACAGGCAAAATGCTTGGGGCCCATGGGCTTTCTAATGGCCTATGCTCAAGTTCGCAACCTTATAAACTAAAATGGTATTGGTTCCAAAACACCACAAAGAAAACAGCAAAATCAGAATGAACAAATGTTGGTCTACAACACCAGACAACTGGTCGACTCAATTCCACGCAAATTTCTGGAGGGCTGGCTTGTTAGCTAGGTTGGTTAAAGTGTGGTATTATAACACCAAGGTCAAGGATTTGGATCCCTGTACTGGACAGCCACAAAAAAAAAAAAAAAAAAAAAAAACACTTTTCTGGAGATATACATAAATTATATTTATCATGTGGGTAACTCAGCCTAGGTGAGAGATGGTATGGGGTGGGGGTTACCAAAGGAAAGATGCGTTCAAAGACACCAAAAGAGACCTGACGGCAGAGAAACAATGCCTGTTTTGCCACCAGGGAATTTGCTTTAACTTGCATAGCACCTGGCACAAAGCAGGTGCTTATAGCAGACACCTAGAGAGAAGACCCCCGTACCCAGTCCCATCCTTCTTCCCTATTTGGGGAAGGTACATTCCTCACCTACGTGACTCAGGGGACGCTGACTCATCCCCTGTTCCCTCAGGTATACCCATCCAGTTTAATGCATCCCAACTCTTGCTGTTCAGCAGAACCACCTGGAAAGCATTCAAAAAATACAGATGGGAGGGTCCCAATCCCAGAGTCTTGTTAAATGGGATATGAGATGGAATTAGGTATGGGTTGTTTTGTTTGTTTGTTTGTTTGTTTGTTTGTTTACTTTAAATGCTTCCACCTGATGTGCAGCCAGAGTTGAGGACACCTGACTAAAATAATCATGACAATTCCATTCCTCTTGCCAGGTAGAGGTGGGCAGATGACAGTGCTGGTCAATAAGATGTGAGGAGAGGTCACTTGGTGGGGGGCAGGGGAGGGTCTAAGAATGAAGACCTCTGGAAGTGATGCCTAGAATTGTGGCAGCCACCTTGTGACCATGAGGTAAGCAGCTGGTGTACGGTATTGCAGACCAAAAAGCTGGGAGATACAAACTGGGTACTCAATGACATCTACCTACTCAATGACTACTTTCTCGACCAAACCCCCCATCCCACCCCCACACTTCTGGGTTACTTTTGGTGTGAAATAATGACATTCCTATTCTTTACACTACACTAAGTCCAGTTTTGTATTAGCTGCAGCCACATGCATCCTCACCGAGATATTTCTCAACAAACAGTGAATGAGTGAATGCATGAACTGTACTAAAGCACAGAGAGCAAGCAGGGACTCCTGGTGTAGGAGCCTGAAGTCAGCAGGAGGCAGACCACACAGGGTCTAGAAAGCCAGGCTGAGGTGCTGGGAAGTCAGGGAGGCTGTGAGCGACGGACAGCCAAGGTCAGCGCCAGATGTCAGAAAGACCCCTCTGGAGCCACGTGGGGGATGGACTGGATGGGAGAAAGTGGAGACCAAGGAGGAGGTGAGGAGAGGGTTCACGTGGAAGAGAACAAGACCCAAGCCCGGGCTGTGGGGATCGAGAGGAAAGCACCGGGCGGAGAGAGTGAGAGAGTCAAAGGGCAGGAAGATGGGGACTGATGGGAATGAATGGGGTGTGTGGGAAGAGATGGCACCTAGGGTCTAGCCCAGTGGCTGGGTTGATGGTGTGGCCATTTGAAAATGGAACTGGGGAGGGAAAAAGCAGCTTTAGGGGAAGATGCTCAGTTCAGTGTGGGAGACAAGGAGAGTAGGGGGGTCTAAGTGAACAACCCAGAGGATAATGGCCACGGAGGAGTTAGGGCCCCAGAGGTTCATGGGAAAAGTAGTTCAGGGTCAGAGTATTGGCCAGGGAACCGCAGAGGCTCGTGGGAAGTGTAGTTTGTGGTCCAAAGGATCACTCTGCAGGAATCTGGTGACTATGAGAGTCTGGGGTGGCTCTCACTTTAGAATGCCAGAGACTCACTTAAGGTCACACTGCAAACCAGGGCTACCACACAATGCCTGGAGGAAGGCAATCCGTGCCCCGACCCCCACCGAAACACACGCACGCACAAACAGCTCAGTACCTGCCTCCTTGTGCAAGGGGTTGCCCATGGTCGGGGAGCACAGGGGCTCCACCTCGTGCTGCATCCTGGGAAGGCAGGTGGGGGACGTCTCAGGAGGGTGGCAAGAGGGGTTCTGACTGGGACACCCACCCCAGCCCCTTCTCCCTGCTGCTGCCTCCTCCTCCTCCTCTTTGAAGCGCCCGGGGAAAAGTACAGAACTGGAAGGCTGGGACCACATGGTGACCCGGGTTCCCCTAATCTCAGGGGCGCCCTGTGGGCCCCAGTTAGTTTTTTCCCATTTCCCTGTTTCTCCCCTGATCTCTCGCCGTCTCCTTGAGTTTCTTTCCCCGCACCTCTCTCTCCACCTCTCTTCCTCGCTCTGAACCCATCTCTCTGCCCCCCTCCCTCCCTCCCTCCCTCCCCATCTCTCCTCCACTCTTTCTCTTGGTTTCTCTGCCCTTTTCTTCCCCACTTCTCTCCTCCCTCGCACTGTCTCCTCAGTCTCCTCCATCAGTTTCCTCAGCATCTCCCCAGCCCCCCTTCCCTCCCTCTCTTCCTAGTTTTCTGCCTCTCTCTAACCCTGTCACCCTCTCTCAGCATCCCTACCTCTCTCCCCATCCCTCCCCAGTCTTCCTTCTCCATCTCTCTCCTCTCATAGCTGCCTCTGCTGCCCTCCTGGGTCCCTGTCCCTCTGTCATCCCCTGTCTGTTCCCACTTGCCCTCCGCTCATCCCTATCTCACATAGGAACTGCTTAGACACAGGCAAGATTCAAACAGAAACTGGATTCTCTATGGGGGAGGGGAAGGTGGGCAGGGGGCCTGGTTGCCATGGGACTTCGGGGGGGGAGGGGCTAGGGGCCTGGAGTCCTGGGTCTGGGGGCTTCTGGATCTCAAGTGCTAGAGGGAAGGGGTCTGGCCACATAGGTGTCCATTGGACCTCCCTTCCTCTGTGTCTGCAGAGCTCTCAGCAGGAGCTGTGGGAGAGGAGAGGAGGCTGGTCTCTTCCTTAGTCCCATCTGTCCTCCTAGTCTCTGTCTCTGCTACTTGTATCTCTGTTTCATTCCCTTTCTCTTTACTTCCGGATGGTCTCTGCCTCGACTATCTATTGTTCCTGTTTGCTAAGCATCAGTTTCCTGCTTTCTAGGTAGTAGCACCTTGATTTCCTCAGTCATTTGTTCAGGAACAAGCTTAAGAGTCAATCTAGGCTACAGAGTCAACCCTCGAACTTTTACTGTTAGAAGAGAGGATCTTTCTCTTTCCACTGAGGTTGCTAGGCTGGTCAGAGCTGAGCCATGGTGGGAGCTGCTGGGGGACACCACGTCACCAGGCAGAGAGAGAGCTTCCCTAAGAGCAAAGACCCCAAAAAGCAGAGCCCCCAAAACACAGTCAGATTCCTGGTGATGATGGGACACCCAGACGTAGCTGTACCTGTAGCCGTCATCCACCCAATAAATTCCTTCTTGTGCTTCAGTCAATTCTGTTTGAGTTTCTGTTACTGGCAATTCAAACAGTCCAGCTTGCGTAGTCTCACGCAGTTCTGTGGCCCTGACTCTCTTCCGGCATCTTCACATCTCTTTCTCTCCCAACCATTTGTCCTTCTCCTCTTTTAGTTGCCAATTCCATCTCTGCAGGATGGGGGACATCTTTGATTCCCCTGACCTCAGTGACACCTAATCCTCACAGCCCATCAGTCCCCAAGCTCTATCCTTTCTGCCTCTCACCTCTTTCTTCTCCTTCCTCTTCATGCCCTATCCCTGGCATGCACTCAGGCTTCATCCTCTCCTGCCTGGACCCTTGTCCCAGCCTCCGTCTTGTCCTCTCATCCTCCAGTCTCTTCCCCTCATTCCTTTCCCACAGGCAAGGCTCCTGAGGGGCCTTTCTGCACCCAGAGCTGCCTCTGTCTCTTCCCTGCCTGCAGCCCTCCCATGGCTCCCCAGTGCTCTTGGACAATGTTTTAGCCCCTTAGCTGGGCATTTAAGATCTGCCTGATCTAGCTCCACCTCACCCCTTCAAACATTCTCCAGCCACTCTTTATTATTTAATTTAATTAATCCCTCCCACATATCTCACCACATTCCTACCTTCACTCTTTCCACACACTGCCCCTTCTGCCTGGAATGCTCTTCCAACCACCCCTTTTCCCCATGCCCCAGATGCCCTCATCCTTTAATAAGAAGCTAAAATGCCCCCTTCTAGGGCCAGCCCGTGACTCACTCGGGAGAGTGCGGTGCTGATAACACCAAGGCCACGGGTTCGGATCCCATATAGGGATGGCTGGTTAGTTCACTGGGTGAGCGTGGTGCTGACAACACCGAGTCAAGGGTTAAGATCCCCTTATCAGTCATCTTTTAAAAAAATAAAACGCCCCCTTGTCCAGGAAGCCTTCTCCGACTCCTCCTCCTACCACTTGTGCTTTCTGTCTCCTCCCTCTGCCTGTTCTTTTCTGCTCCTTTTCCAGGCCTCTGAGCACTGTCCCCACATCCATCTTGTTCAGGGATTTGCTTCTTGACTCATCTCTCCAGCATTGCTCCACACAGAGCCAGGCCTCAGGGAAGGTCAGGACATGTGGGTTAAATGAATAAAGGAGTGACTGTTTCCTTCTATCTCTGTGACCCACACTCAGAAGCCACCAACTCTGAGTGCCCTGTTCATCCTGGTCCTCATGAGGCAGCATAGGGTGAAGAAGAGCTTCGGGGTGAAACAGACCAGCCTCAAATGCCACACCCAGACTGCGACCTGAGGCAAATGTCTTTTCCTCTCTGAGCCTCAGTTTCCTCATCTCTTACCAATAATGTTATCTTCAAGGGCTGTTGGTGCTTAAATGAGCATCTTTCTAAGTCTCCATCTCTCACCCTCTGCATCTCTATACCTTTCTGTGTGTCTCTATCTTCATCTCCCTCTCCCTCTCTTTCTCTCTCTCTCGTGCCTGTCCCACTTCCTGGCCTGGCACCCAACCTGGGACACAAATCCCTGACTCAGCATTTTCCTCCAATTCCAGAAATGATGTCAGTGCTGCAGTGGGAGTAGGGCTGGTTGCAGCCCTGGTTGGAGGGTTTGCATTCCCCCGTCCCTGTCCACACAGCCCCTGCCAGCTTGGCCTACTTCAGTGTTTGCTCTCTCCAGGGAGAGCAGCAGGAGAAGAGGTGAATCTGTGTTTGCACACGTGTGCATGTCTCTGGGTGTGTGTCTGCATCTATTTCCTGGCACATATGTGTGTGAATCTGCAGGTATTCGTGCAAACTCATTTATTCACTCATCCATCCGCCTATCCCTTTATCTATTTCTCCAGCATCCATCCAACCATCCAACCATCCACTCATTCAACCATCCATCCCCTCATTTGTCTCTCCAGCATTTACCCATCCATCCATCCCTTCATCTATTCTTCCAACATCCATCCATCCATCATCCAACTTCCATTGACTCATCCAGCAATACATCCATACCTTCCTCCACTTATCCATCTGCTTGTTCAGTCATTCAACCAACAAATATTTATTGAATACCTACTCTGTTCCAAGCACTGCGTCAGGCAGCAAGAACACAGCAGTGAACAAAGCAAAGTGTTACCCCCATGGAGCTTGTGTACTCAGCAGTTCTCCATGTACCAAAATCCCCGTGCCCCCAGGCCTTATACAGGCTGTTCCTTTTCCCTGGAGCATTCCCCCCTCTTCATCTGGCTTATGCCTACACACCCTCCTCAGCTCAGCTCAGAGGTCACTTACTCAGAGAGGAAGCCTTCTGCGACCTCTTTCTCAAATGCACAGACCCTGGACTTTCCTTCATAGCATTAATCCTAGTATGAGGATACCAGTATGCATCGTTATTTTATTATTATCTGTCTCCTCGAGTAGACCATGAGCTTTCTCCAGGCTGGAATTTTTGTCTTTTCTTTTTTTTCCCCCAGCTGAATTCCTGGTGCCTAGCAAAATGCCCCCCACACAGTAGGTGCTCAAATAGTATTTATCAAATGACTGCATGAATTAAGTTCAATGAATGTGGAGGACTTCCTCTGTCTCTGTTCCCTGTCCAGTACTCTTCACACCATTGTACACTCCCAGCGACAATGACATGCAAGGTCCTCAAACACCCTAAAAGCAAATAACATAGTGGCTAAAGACAAGGGCTCTAGATTCAGATCCGTGTGGTTTTTAATCTCAACTCTGACACTTCCCTGTTTGACCTTGGACAGGTCACTTCTCTCCAAGCCTCAATCTCTTCTCTTGTCAAATGTGGTTAATGATTAAATGAGCCAATGCACGTAATTACTAGTTATAACAACACTAAACACTACCCATTTTTTCTAAGCACCTCTTCTAAGCCCCAAAATAACTCAAAGAAATAGAATCAAAATTTTTAAATTATTATTATCCTCATTTACATAGATGGAAACTGAGGCATAGAGAATGTAAGTAATCCATCCAAGGTTGCAGTGAGAGAGCAGAGCTGGGATTTGAACCCAGGTGCTCTGCCCGCAAAGCCACACAGACAACCAGTGCACTACAGCCACCTCTCAATGTGTGGGCAGCCTCAGAATCTGAGCATCTCTTTGGAAAAGTGTCATGGGAGTCTGGCAAGCCCATCTGTGTACACCTTTCTGAACGTGGCAATCACTGCATGTCTTTCCCTGTGGGACGGGGCTGCCTGTGGATCCTCGGCAGGCCACTGCTGGGTGTCACACTGTGAGAGTGGGCATCGGGACCTGCATGCACCATTGGTAGGTGTACACCCATGCAAGCTTCCTTGGGTGAAAATGCAGATGCATCAGGGAGAATGCAAGAAGCCGTGAGGATGGGTCTGTGGATGAGCCTGGGAGGCATTTCTGGGAGATTCTGTGACTACAAAATGTATACATATGTAGCAATTGGAGATGGGGGGAGGAGGGAGGGTAATCTAGTTAGAGGGAAGGCTTAGGAGATGTGTTAAATAGCATTTGCAGAAGAAGCAAGAGAATTTTCACTTAGAGATTATATTTATTTGGGTGTCAGCTCTGAGGGACATTGGGAGGCCTCCAAGCCACCTCTCTGGGCTTCAGCTGTGACCATGTAGATCTGGGCCTTACCCGATGGATTTAACCTCCAGGGGTCTAGGTTGTCTCGTCTGTGAAATAGGAATAACATAATTGCACCCATCTCACAGGCCCAAACTGAAGATTAAATGAGAAAACGCTTTCAAAGCACTTAGTACATTGCCACTTATCGAAGCAAGTGGCAATTATCATTAACTGCTATTAATATACCAGAAACTGTTACTTGCTGCTTTTGAGAAAAATTCATTAAGGACCTACCTGATGGGTTTTTCAAACTCTAGATCTTTTAGGAATAAGTTTACTGTCTATATTGCTGATGAGGAAATGGGTTCAGAGCAAGGAGCCTAGGATCACAGACAGGAGGCGGCCCAGGCAGGATTCAAACCTAGGTCTCTGCCTGGTATCTCTACTTCCTGGCTGTGACTCTCTGTGCCTGTGACTCTGAATCTCGGCCTCGCCTCCCGCCACCAGCCCTCAGAGCTGCTGAGGTTGGAGGACCTGAAGTCCTGGGTACTGGTAAAGAGGGGGCTGGGATTCCGACTTCTGTGTCTGAGAGACAAGGGATGGAGGACCGAGCGGGCCCCCTGGACCCTTAGGGAGCAGCAGGTCATGATCCCAGGTCTCTGGACACCCAATGTGGAAGCGCACTTGGTCTCTGGCGCCTTGGTCCCGGGAAATCTCTCTCCTTCCCAGCTGCAGCCGCGCGATTTCGGGTTTCGGGCCGCAGGTTCGAAGGGGAGGAAGGAGGAGGGGGGTAGGGGAGGAGCCGCGGACCTGCGACAGGGGAGCGGGGAGGAGCGGAGCGGGCACCGCGGCTGGCGCGCGGAGCTGCTGCGGCGGCGGCACCGGCGGG